GTGTCTGGGGGGCACTGATATTGATGTGGGGTTCAAAGAGGCAGAAGAATATGGGGGAAAGCATTTATATGTAAACATGTGGCATCCCTTGTAAATAACCCACAAAACTCTGAATGGGATCAGAAATTCTATACAGTTGCTTCCCAACTTATGATGGTTTGATTTACAATAGTTCAACTTATGATGGTCAACTTACAATTTTTGGACTTTATGATAGTGCCAAAGCAACACCTGTTCACAAGTAACCCTACTTTGAAGTTTGAATTCTGATCTTTTCCCAGGCTGATAAGTAGTATGATCACTCTCTTGTGATGCTAGGTGTTGGCAGCAAGCCGCAGCTCCTGGTCAGCCATGATGTTCAGTAGGTTAGGCGTATTAAATGCATTTTTCACTTAGGATATTTTTATCCTGGATAGTCTCCTAAGAAACACAGCGATGACTGTAAATGTGGCCCAGTTTATAGGAGACCCAGAAATGCACAAGAAACAGTCACAGGCCTAAAGCACGTAAAGAGTGATTGAAGGAAACTGGAGTTTCTTGCATGGAAAAGAGATGTAGGGAGCCTGAGTGAAGTTGAGCAGAGATTAGATAGTGCCCACCATCTCGAAGTCAAGGTTTCATTGAATCTGAATGTTACATTCGACACACGAAGAGAATTGTTTATAGACTCTCGCCTCCATGGTTCGGTCATTATATATTTACTTCAGGTTGCCCTATATTAAAGAACTTCAATTTCATAATTTTCTTACAAGAATTTCAGCGAGCAGGAATCATAGATGGTCGGCAATTTACATAATCTTGCTTAAAAAATCAATAATACATTTGCATCAAATTCTCAAATCTAATTTACACTGCATATAGGATTTCCCTCAGGGAAGTGAAGCCTAAAGGAAAGATGACAAGAGAAGAAAAGAGAGGGGGGAGGTGGAGAGGGAGACCGACTTAAGTGGCAAAGACAGAAGAAGGCAGAAGGTGAAAGAGCCAGAACATCCAACAAGGCTACACCAGGAGGGGACGGCGAGTGGTGCCTGCAAAGGCAAGAAAGAGGTCACCCTGAGACATTCTAGGTGTAGGGGACTGTTTGGTGACTCTGATACCTTCAGAGGAACCTGGGGCAGCACCACGCATTACAGTAGGTCAGAGGGAGACAGAATGTCTGAGGAGGCAGAGTTTCAGATGGAAATAAATCAAACTGTTATAGTTTGGATTTGGAATTGTCCACTCCCACAAAGCTCACGGTTTGGAAGTATGATTCCCCAATGCACCAAGGTTCATAGGTGGGGCTGTTAGGAAAATATCGGATGATGAGATCTGTAACCTCATCAGTGGATTAATCCACTTGATGGATTAATCATTTGAATGGACTACTGGGTGGTAACTATAGGTAGGTGGGGCGTGACTGGAGGAAGTGGGTCACTGGGGGTGAGTCTTTGGGGGCTATATTCTTGTCCCTGGATCCTTGCTCTTGCTGCTTTATGGCTGCCATGAGCTGAGCAGCTTTCAAGTTCCACACTCTTCTGCCACTCTGTCCCATCTCACCTCAGGTCCAGAGCAATAGAGTCAGCCAACCATGGATTGAGATTTTTGAAATCCTGAGTCCAAAATAAATGTTTCCTCTTCTAAGTTGTTCTTGCCAGGTATTTTGGTCACAGCCACAAAAAGCTGACTGACACACACATGCACAGAGCAATGGTTGGAGAAGATTCTGCAGAAGGAAATGGGAAATTGCATTGCTGGTCAGAACTGGACAGTCAGATCTTTACTACTCCCTATGTAAGAAACGACCAAGGATTCCAGGACAGTGTCTACCCACATGGGGTCCCGATGCATAGCTACTGTTCTTTGGGTGTAGTGGATGCCTCCTGGGTATCACCTCAACTCTGCTTGTATTTCAAGTCTGCCTGCACTTCAGTGGCTGCTGCTGTGGTAACCAATTCACACAGGCTTTGACAAGCTCCTTCAGCGTGGACCCCTTGCTTCCTGCCTTGGGTGTTGGTGAACCACAGCACGGTACATCCAGAGGATTGCTCAGCCCTCAAACATGTGAAATGGATGGGAGTTTAAAACCCAGACCAACGGAAGACAAGAGTCTGTGGATACACACCTTCCTCTTTCTTACCTGGGCAGGTGTTTCAGAGCACACTTCATGACTTCTCAGGCGATTCTCTGCAGGGCAGTGACCCCAGAGTGAGGGCTGGTTGGTAATGCATGTGCATTCTGGAACTGGTTTTTCTTCCTAGTATCCATGTCCTCTATATTTCCTGGTTCCTAGAATCACCCTCCCTAAGAAATCATACTAACATAAACTTTCATCTTGATCTTTACTCTGAGTAAGGCAGACTAGAAAAACAATAGAAAAACAATAGTTTTACTGAAGAGAGGTGGGACTTGCCTCCCTGGAGGGCATCTCAAACTCACCGCATCACTGTAGGGAGCATACGGTGAGCAAATTGCACAAGCGGCTGGGCACCGTGTATTCCCCATCTTTTGCTCTGCTTTGGAGGGTGGTAAATGCTCAGGGCAGGAATCTCCCTCATTAAGGACACTCCTTTTTGAGGAGTTCTTGTGCTCTCAGAGGTCATTTGATATAAAATGCAGGCTTTGAGATTTAAAATCCCTCACACTCCTGCACACCAAAGATTTCCTGCTTCGAGAGCATTAAGACAAGGTTTGTAGATCTGCCCACGGACTTGGTCTGCTGTCCCTGAATGTGGAGCTGTGTGCTAATGTTCCCCTGAAACTGGTCTCTTGGCAACTGGCCACCCCAACCCAGGTGTGACTGAACATGGCACACACAAGGGAATTCTTACCTCCTGTCTTTGAGATTCAGTTTTTGGTCAAATAAAAGGGACCAGGATTGTAGAATGCAGGTCTTTGCTTTCAGGAAATTCAATTACTGTGTTGGAAGCACTAATTACCTGCCTTAAGAACCAACATTATTAGCCAAGAATCGTTATTACTGCAAAGAAAGTGAAAACAATCAGGAAGGAGCACCTCTTTTAAAACACCTTCAGTTTCTGCTTTCCCTTTAGCATAGGGAAACACACGAATTCCCCACTCTCTATTAAGAAGGAAGTCCTCAACCACAAGCAATCTGCCATCAAATCCCATTTGCGTTTTTTACCTTTGGTGTGAATAGTAATTAGACACAGTGACAAAAACACAACATGTGGAGGTTCATACAACTTTGTATTTGTTATTTTAAGCTTATTTTCAGGATAGAAATGATTATTACAGTTTGAGTTGTGAGTGAATGTGTGTGTGTGTATGTGTGTGTGTGTGTGTGTGTGTGTGTGTGTGTGTGTGTAGCATAGTGAGGCTTTGGGGTTACCATGACTACGCTACACAACTCCCCAGTTACTTGAACAGTGTGTAAGGCTAAAATAGGGGTGGGGGGTTTGGAAAATCATGCAAATGAAATCAGAGGGGGTTACACATTCCCAAATTGGAAAACTGATTTCCTTAAATACCTCTACCATCTGGGCACATTCTCTTTTAAGATTTTGTACTCCAGATGCATTTTTTTTTGGTCCAACAAAGCAGAGTTATGTTTAGTAAAACCAGATTAAAGGAGCCACAACTTAATGAAACAGTTCTAATGAAAACTGGGGCCCCCTGGCTCTACAGGATGACATTTGATTGAGCTGGCATTGTTGAGGTCTCTGTGTCACATAAACAAAACCTCCCTCTAATGGGAGCTACCTGTTGAACTGGGGTGGATGCGTGGGGCCGTGGGGAGATTCTCGTCCTTCTCCCTTCTGAGACCTGCACCTGCCATCTCTCTCCCAGGTCTGCAGGGCCCTCAAGCTCCCCAAAGCTTTGCAGACAGAGAACAGAGGAAGGAAGATGAGGATGAAGGGTCCCCATGGCCACTCTGGTTCTTTTACACTTTCCTTTCTCCTTCAGCACAGACTTAGCCCTGAGATATCTAATGGAGCAGAGGAAGGAAGCAAATGAATTTTTTTCTTTCCTTCAGGCTACAAAATCCAAACAATTTCTCACGTACATGTTATAGGGCTTTTGGTGAATTCACTGCCTTTCCCTCTTTCTCAATTGCTCCATCTTTCCCCCCTCAACCGAACCCCCTTCTTCCATTTTTAAAAACCTTTAATTGAAGTATAAATATATGCAGAAGAGTGTAGAGTTACATGCATGCAGCTCAAAGACTTTCCATCAGGGGTCACCCTGGGGTCCCCAGAGCTCAGATCAAAATGGGATATTAGCACTTCTCCCTGGGGTCCCTCCCACTTCCAATCCCTTCCAGGGAAGACACTCTGCTCGTCACAGACTTGCTCTATTTTTGAGCTTTATACATATGGAAGCCTACCATATGTTCTCCCTTTGGGTCTGGCTTCACATCCTTATCAGTATGTATGGCTGTTGTTTGCTTATTCTCATTATTATACTGGATTAACTTGTCGGAGTTTACCTTGATTTGTTTATTGGGTGAATATACTTCACTTTATTTATCCATGTTACTGTTTGCTCTACCTAGCATCCTAATTCAGGACTGAAGGACAAATTCCCCTGCTCTGTTGGCCAAAGAGAGCTGGCTTGTCCAGGGCTGCACACCTGTGCTGGGCGGACCATATCTAGAGCTAGTGATATATGGAAACATGAAGGCCCGGTTCCCTTGCCCCAACTTGGGACCACTCTGAAGAGCTATCCTAGTCTCAGGGCTCCTTGTAGGGTTGACTGAACTCTTGTGTGAACTGCACTGCAGACTTCTCTCTATCCAATCCTTCTTCCCTCCTCCCCTATTGGTACAGTCCTGAGGGCTCTCTTAATAAATGGCCTGTACTCTAGTGCTGCTTCCTGGGGAGCAGTGGGTTTTGGCTCATTTCTAACTTTTGCAAGTGGTGCCCTATGAACATTCTGGTACAGGTCTTCTGGTGAATAAGCATATGCATTTCCCTGGGGTACATATTTAAAGAGAGGAATTGCTGGATTTTAGAATTAGCCTGCCTTCGGGTTTAACAGATATTGCCAAACACTCTTCCAAAGTGGTTGTATCAGTTGATGCTCTCATCAGCAATTCTAGTTGCTCCACATCCTTTCCAACACCTGGTCTTGCTTCTCTTTCATATGTTCACTATTTGATAGGGATGTTATGATATTTCAATAGGATTTTAACTTGCATTTATATTTCAGCTCATATACATTGAGGCATCTCTCCTGAGCTATTAGGAAGACACTATTTTTTCTTTTTTTAAGATTTATTTTCTTTTAGGACAACTTTAGAGTCAGAGCAAAACTGAGTGAAAGGTGTAGAGATTTTCCCCTATGCACCTTGCCCCCATATATGGGGGCAACAGCTTCCTCTGTTATCAACCTCCCCGACCAGAGTGGCACATCAATGAACCTACACTGATACATTATTATCACCCAAAGACCATAATTTGTCTTAAGGTTTGTTCTGGATATTGCACATTCTATGGGTTTGACAACTACATAATCTGTATATCTGCCATTATAATACCACACAGAGTATTTTCACTGCCCTAAGAATCCACTGTGCTCCATAATGATCACTTCCCCCTTTATCCAGGTTGGGCACAAGTTTTCTTGTGTACTATCAAGCTCCCAGTCAGGACTTTCCTCCTGAGGGGAGCAGGCCATCAGCATTTCTTATATTTTGTCCCTATCTGCCTGTTAGGGTCCTAGACAACCAGTGGTGAGGGCTGAGGGCTCCCTTCTGCTCAGTCTGCACTGTGGCAAAGGGCGGGCGGAGCATGCTGGGGTCATAATCACTCTTGCCCCAGCTTGTGAGGTGGTGGCTCCTTGTGACCTCAATCTACTTCCCTCTGCTTCATCAAGCACTCTGTTTCTAGAGCAGAGATGCTTGTCATACCCTCAACTCATGCCCCAGAGCTGTGTCCTGGAGATTTTGCCTGGGAGAGCAACAGGCCTTCCTTAAAATAGACAATTCCTAATCTCTCTCCAAAGCAACTGACTTCATTTGCAAAGGAATGTGAAGTTCAAACCTACGGATCCTCTCAAGTAGAGTGGAGGTTGTGGTGAAAGGAAATTGATTCCTAAATTTCATGATGATATAGCCTACCCTGTTGAGCAGCTAGTTTGTAGTAGAGAACTGGGGAATGAGTAACAGATATTCTGAGCCCTCTGGGGTCAGAATGATCTCTAGCATGAACCTCAGCAATTGTTTCCCCCCAAGGAATCAGAGTTGGATTGGATTAGTTATAAAGCAATATATGCTTTGGGGAGTTGTTGAAGATAATAGAACAATCAGCAAGCAACTAGTAGAGCTGAACAGCTGGGAGACGTCAGGGAAAGAAAGAGAACTCCTGTCATCCTAGGGTGACCGGTGGACATATCCCAAACTGCACTTCCCAGAGGACCAACATCAGAGGCTTAAAACTGGCTTGGGAGGTAGGGAGAGGAGGGATAGATTCAGTAAAATCCAGTTGGCCACAAAACAATGGACAAGCAGATGCTAAAAACATGCTATGGAGGGGGATATCAGTACCCAGAGCTGCTACAGTTTTGCTGCCATCCTTGACCATGGTTCTAAAATGTCCTGGTTCCAACGAGAGGTATGTGGAGAAACAGCAAAGTATGACCCATACACTGGAATAAAACAGAAGGCAATAAAAACTGCTTATGAGAATGAGCAGATGTCATATTTAACAGCAAAGACTTTGAAATAGACATTGTAGCCAAAGGACCTTTTTTTTAAAGACAGGATCTCGCTATGTTGTTCAGGTTGGTTCCAAACTCCTGGATCTAAATAGTCCTCCTGCCTAAGCCCCCAAAGTAACTGGGAATGCAGAGATTATCCATAGAATTAAAGGAAACCATGATTAAAAAAATAAAAGAAGGCAAGAGGACAATGTGTATCAAATAGAAGTTATTGATAAAGAAATAGAAATTGGAATACAGATTCAACTGGAAATTCCGGGGTTGAAAAGTGCATAACTGAAGTGAAATTTTTACCAGAGGGGCTCAATTTGAAATGGCAGAAAAAAAAAGAATTAGCAAAAATGAGGATAGGTCAATAGAGCTTATGTAAGATGAACAGTAGAGAGAAAAAAAAAAGGATAAAAAAACGAACATAATCCCAGAAAAAATATGAGAAACCATCAAGAATATTAACATAGCTGTATCAGAAGAAAAAGGAGGAGTTAGGGGAGAAGGGGGAGGGGAGGAGAAGAAGGAAAAGAAAGGAGTAGAAAAAAAGCATTCATGAAAATAATGGCTGAAAAATGATATACGATTTTGAAACAAGTGAAACAATCTGAAGGTGTATAAAGTAAATGCTGATAACCTTTCACCCATGTGAAAAGCCAGTTCCAGTGTCTGAGAATTGTCTGCAAGATATCTTGAGACCAAAGAAAGAGACAGATTCAGAAATGTGCAGAGTTCAATTTGTTGGGGACTTATTGACAGAACGATAGTCAAGGGTGGCAGCAAAACCAGCAAATCTTCACGATTTGGGTCAGAGTGGGGGGCTTTATAGAGTGGTCAGGACAGAAGTGATCTTCTCAGCTAGAATGTACCCAATTTATCTGAAGGTAATATTAAGGATGCGAGCCATATTCCCGGCACCAATGGCACCAGGGTGCAGTTGAAAAGCTTCACATATCATTCTATTGGTTCTGTTTATTCACAGTATGTTGAGAGACTATGTGGAGAAAACAGACCAGACTTATTTGGGGCAATCATGGTAGTTATGGCCCAACATGGCTGTGGGCAGGTTAAGCTGGCTCTCCACACGGGACAGCTGTGCTCCCTCCCCAAGCTAATTAGCCCAACAGTGTAGTGTATATTCTTCTGTGCTTTGCTTTATGATTATGCAAAAACAAGCAAATAGACATATTTAGGTTTTTATGTATAAAATAGAGGGATGATATTCCATTGTTTGGAGGTACAACAATTTATTAGCAATTTTTTCTATTTACTTTCTCCCTGATAAGATCTGTAACAGCTATGATTCTGTTTATCTGATTGTGAACATTACTTTGTAAAATTTTTTCTTGACCACACTGAATCCAACTTCCGAAGTCCCAGGCAAAATCATATTGGAATAGGCTTAATAAATTTATTGTCATTTGAAGCATATGGACCAGCCTAATTTGGATATTTAGGCATGGGAGATTATAAGTGGGAAAAGGGAAAGGATGATAAAAAGTTAACTTGTTCAATATCCTATTTAGTTCAGCACAATTTCCCATATATCAAGTGTGAATTTGAAAAAGTTTCAGACTCTGTGGTAATATGGTACAGGATAACAAGTTCTAGTATTACACAGAAGATCAACAATTGTCAACAACTACTCACTGTGTGCTTCAAAATAGCTAGAAGGGTGGATTTTGAATATCCTTACCACGAGGACGTGCTAAATGTTTTAGGTGATAAATATATAATTAGCATGATTTCAATTATGCAATGGATACATGTATTGAAATATTACACTGTATGCTATATATAAACAATTACAAGTGTCCATTAAAAATTAAAACTGAGGGCTGGGGATGTGGCTCAAACGGTAGTGCGCTCGCCTGGCTTGTGTGTGGCCTGGGTTCGATCCTCAGCACCACATACAAACAAAGATGTTGTGCCCATCAAAAAACTGAAAAATAAATATTAAAAAAATTCTCTCTCTCTCTTTCTCTCTCTCTCTCTCTTTAAAAAAAAAGATTAAAAAAATTAAAACTGAGCCTCTCTCCAAACACAGTAAGGATTAGTTTAGCACATGTGTTTGTGGGACAGAAAGACTGAGGGTTGGGTGTGTAGACAGATCTAGACCTGACTCAGTTAAGGTGGTTCTGTTTCATATGTCTTTTTGGGACCAGAGAAGTAGTAGACTTGTGATGGCAAACAGACAAGAAAGCAAGTCCTACTGCAAAAGCACATTCTGAGCTGCTAACAACCCAACAGCCAAAACACGTCACCTCTCTAAAACCAGGATCTAAGGGGCACTGCCAATTTACAAGTCAAAGGTTGGCGTCCCCTCATTAGTGATGGAGTAAAGATGTGGAAATACAACTTGGTCTATTGCAGTTATCTTCTAGCAAGTTGCTTTGTGTTACCTGAAATAAGGAGGCAATGGCGTCTACCACGTGTAATTTTGTTGTGGGGATTAATTGTGATCCCTCAACATGTACATCCCTCAACATCTCATAAGTTCTCATTGGCAGTTAACTTCCCTCCTTTACAAAAAGCTATCATGGATAGTGTGAGTGATGTTCAAAATTTTAGACAATGTTGTGAAATTAATAAATTTTTAAAAACCATAAAATAATTTAAAAAAATCTTTACCTAACATGCTAGCACATAATGGATTTTCCCCCGATGATGCCTGTCATGTTCCTGTTATGCTGCCTATATGGTTTCACTTGCACAAATGCTTTTGCAGAGTTGTATTGGAAGTGTATGGCCGTTCTGAATTTTGCTATCTTACATTTTCTTACACCAGAACATTGTCTTCTATGTTCACGTTGTTTGGTTTTTCATTAATTCCTTCTTGTATTTATGTAATAATTTGTCATCTGGATGGGTCATAATGAGGTTTTATAATTTCAGGGGGGAGGTGTGGAGGCCTCCAGGCTGAGCGTCTGTTACCTGAGCTGATGTCCTTTTGGTTTCAGAGCGCTGACACCTGCTGAGCGATGGTAGGGAGAATCTTAGGGCAAGGGGGCTCTCAAGCGCCTATAAATCCTTTCTTCTCTGAGAAGACAAGCGAGCTTGCTGGAAAAGTAATAAAGTCCTCTTTGTTAGATTGGTGTAACTGCTGCCCGTGGGAGGAAAAACAAAGGCATCTGTAGGTGCTGTCAGCATCAATAACACACTCCACCAGGCTCCAACCCCACTGACCTGACTTTGTGGTCTAAAATATTTTAGCCACACAGAGAACTGAATCTGCAGCTTTGTAAATCTGGTGAAGGAGCCATATAAACTCATTTGCCAAATATAAAAATATTAAGCAAAGTGGAACTAAAATCAGCTTAACCAAGTGCTTACATAAGGGCAATGAGCAGCAGGTGAACCCTGCTACCTGGGAAAGTTTAGTTCTTAATTTAGGGAAGGTTTGGGGCCCATCTTGTAAGAGACTATCTGCTGAGACTGGTTTCATAGCTACGATGGTTTTGTAGCTAGAATGGTTTCAAGATGATCCATCTCAAACTAGGAGTTGAGTTCAGGCAGGAAAAGGAAATTCTTTTTGGGAGGCTACCTAATAAATCTTCCTTTGTTACTTGCCCAGGGCCTCTGTGGATGAGACTGGTCCACTGTGGGCCCTGAACTCTCTACCACATAATAACCAACTATCCAGAAATAGTTATATCCTGTCTTAGGTTTGCCTAGGAGTTTGTTTGGAAGAGTCTCAGAGGATGATCAGTATTCATCCAATTGTTTTTGTGAGCATCTTCCTGTTTCTCTGTGACATGTCTCTCTTTTGTCTTTCCATATGGATTCACTCTCCTGCCCAGGAAGGATCCCTGAGGGATGGACAAACGCTGTGTGCCTGGTCAGGACTCTGGAAGCACACTGCCTGGGCTCCACAGGTTTAGCTGCTTGGAATGTTGTCACCTTTGGAAGATCACTTACTGCTCTCTGTGTTCAAGTCTTTCTTCACCTTTGATATGGTGATAATAAAGGCACCTACCTCAGAGGATTCTCTTAAGAATTGAGGGATTATGTAAAGCTCTTGGAATAGCTCCCAGGGCAACGTACGCAGCATTATATAAGAGTGGCTCTCATTATCTTAAGACCTTAATGAACATAAATTAAATGAGATTCTCACATACAGATGACACTGAATTGTAGATATTTTTATCTCTTCCACTATTGTTATCTCCTCTTGGACAAGATGTCTAAGTGGTAACAGAGGCTTTTTGCAGATAAAGCCCTATTCTGCCTTCTCCCAACTGAGATTGGGTCTGCAGAAAAAAAAGTGTTCTATGGTTAAATATGTTTGGAAAATGCTTCATAGCAGGTGCTGTTTGTATATGCATGCATGCGTGTGCGTGTGTGTGTGTGTGTGTGTGTGTGTGTGTGTATGTTTCTGAAACATATTTGGATCATAGAAGTATTTTGCCTAAAAACTTACTTTAGGAGCTTTCCTGTAACTCACCAAATGAGAGTGGGGATTTCAGATGGGGATTATTGCTGGAGGAAATAGAATCCTGAACCCTTCTCAGATAATGCTAAGCAAGAAACTGCCCTTGTCATCTCCAAAGTAAGTGACAGGATTTATTACATCTCCTCTATGCCAGACATTGATCTTGGCACTTCAGATGCATTATATCTAATAAAAATGTATTAATAGCTACCATTTATTGACCACCTGGACATGCTGGCATTCTGTATAAATTATCTCTAATTTTCATAAGGATATTGCAGAGTAGGTATGACTATTCTTAGCTTTGGGATGGCGAAATCAAGGTGCTGTGACGATGGGTCATAGTGTGAGAACATGGAGTCCAGGTTCGAGTTCAGGTCTGAAGGCTTCAGAGCACAACTTTGTGAAAATGTGATGGGGGAACGTGGCATTCTCAGCAGCACTTATGGAGATTCGGGAAGAAAAGATGTCATAGTTAATGGCTGGCATTCACATTCATGTTGCAGTTTAGAAAATGCTTCCCCATGCAATTTCTTATTTGATTCCAAATGTGCGTAACCTGAGCCCTCCAGTGTCTGCTCCCGTGGTTCTTCCCATCTCCTAGGTCTCCTTCTCCAAACTCACTTGGCTTTGGCAGTTTGCTGCCCTTTCTCACGCTGGTCCCTTTACATGGTTGACTTAATGGGCCTTCCAAGTTCCAATTTGTCTTCCCTGAGCAGCCCAGCTCAACTCCTCCTGACAGAATCCTTTGCTCCTTCTTCACAGGCCACAGAATTTTATTCAAACTCATTTATTACAACCATCATGTTGAGTTATAATTGCTCATTGCTATATCAAATGAACACAGAGGTGGTCTTTTAGGTGTGAATAAATTCTCTCTTGTCTTTTTTTTTTTTTAAGTGAGGAGAGTAGAGCTAAAGAGATTCAGAGACTTGTTCATGATCATATAAATGGTATGCGATAGAGCTGGGGCTTCAGCCTTAATTTTAGGATCTAGAGACTTAAGAATGCTAGGTTGGAATTATAGTGATAATACTGAAACATTCATAAACTCTTTTCACAGCCTCTTCCCTGAAGGATTCATCAGTTAAATAAGAAGACTATCATAGGATGAGTGAATAGAAAACATGACTATACCCACCCATTCACATGCATTTAGTTTGCAAACCACTTCTTACATTACTTTCTTCAACAGAAATATAAAGAGGGTCTCGTGGTGAAATTTTTTTCTAACTGATTGAGATAAGCAAATATATCTTTGGTGTGGGAGGTCACCACGTTAAGGAGAGTTCCCACTGCAAACACCTCCTCTCCCTCTCTCTATCTCTATTCTGATGTTTGCTTCACACAGCTCTCTCTCTCTCTCTCTCTCTCTCTCTCTCTCTCTCTCTCTCTGGGAAAGTTTACACTTTCACACACTACAGAGGGCAATTAAAAGAAATCAATTAAAGTGAAACTTGTGAAGGCAGTGATCCAAAAAGAGGGAATAAATGAGCTAGGGATGTTTATCATAATGGAAGCTGAAAGGCTAATATTGCAAAATAGTCATTTGCAGGCTGTGAGATTGACAAGATCTTGACTTAGAGGCCAAAGCTTTCTACTTCGCATTTCCTTGAAAGTTACCCTCTGCACTGTGGCTTAAGGCTCAGATCTTCAATGGGTTGGGACAGGGAGATGGAACAGATAAATCAGGAGATGGAACAGATGAGATGCCCTGATTTTCCTTTAGAAACTGGAGTCCAAAGCCAGATCTTTGCCAGCTGTGACATTAATTATAACCATGACCTGTGTGGCCAACCTTCCTGATTATTTTTGGTAAATTTTCTTTGGAGATAAGGGGGTAAACCATTAAACCAGACTATGGTTTGCCAGTTCTAGGAAGTGTCTGCAGGCAGTATCTAACACTGTTCTAGACAAAGAAGAAAACAGTGCAACGTTGGGCACTTTGAGGGATGACTCACTGCCACTCTTGGAGCAACTCCAATCTGGGCCCGCAGAGCTTCCTCATCCCTCTCTGTAGGTTCCTGCAGATTTGTCTTCTGATTGCATTGTTGAGAAAGTAGGAATATGGCTTATGACATCTCAAGAACACCTTCGAAGAAGCTGTGCCTTTTTTATTCACCACTTCTCTTAGAGTTCTTCTCTCTCCCTTTTAGATCAAGGTTGTTTATTACAGTCTGTCTGCTTTAGTGTGATGGGACTGGCCTTGAATTTAGAGAATTCATTGTAGGATGAGATCCTTTCTCCTAATGCTAAAACCAGAACCTCAGAGCTGAAGGGGTGAATGAGCCTGGTTCTGCCTGGGTTAAAACAGTCTCTTTTATTAATTCCTCTTCCTGCTGTAGTGGGCACTAGATTAGATTCAGACTTTGATCTCCTGTATTTTCTGGAAGTGTTTTTTTTCTTTGGAAAATGAACAATCTTGATTATTATATCTGAGATGAATATTATACATGTATGTATTTTGTTACTTGTCATTTTAAACTCTCAGCACAGTAGAGTTCTGGGTATCATTACGATTACACCTAAATGAACGACGACCTCAGCTGCCTTGCACGAATGTATCATTTGGGAGAAATTAGGTGCAAGTGGAAGAAACTAACACTAGCTAAATTAAACAAAAGGGAAACTTATTTTAAGAAAACTGCATGTTCTCATAGAAGCCATGGATACAAATATGACCAGGTCTCAGGACACCTGGGATCAGAAATTTGGTTGCTCTCAGAATTGACTTTGTTTTTCTTTTATCTCTAATTCTCTTTACATTCAAATGACTTTCTCTCTTTTTCATATATAAAGATTCCCTCTATTTTAAGTCTAGGTCGCAGAAGACAAGATTATAAATACAGTCTGTGCTCCCCATCCTACAGTAAACCCTCAAGTAGTGGCTTTCTTACTTGGTCCTGGCTCCAAGAATCCCATGGCAGCACTGTGATTGGCCTATCTTGGGACAGGGACCCAAGTCACAGGGCTCATATGCTATCAGGTCAGACCAAGTAGTCAGACATGGCTGGTAAGTCTCAGAATGCTGGGCTCTTCAGAAGATGAAACATAGTCATGAAAACAAGAAGCTTGTCAATATATTTAAGAGGCATTCCCTAAGCAAATACTGAATTCGTTAGTGCTGCTGAGTTAAGTCAATTCATTTTCCTAAGAAGTGAGTTGTTGTAGACTTTTAGTCTATGAGCTATTAGCCTCTGTTATTAATTGGATTAGTTACTTAGAGAAATCAATTTCTTTATCAGACAGGCACTCACTGAAAAACTATCAACTTACATTGTCCTTTTCCCTAAGCAGTGTACAACAATAGCAAACACATATAGAGGGCTTACTGTATATGATGGCACTCTTCTATGATGAGGGTGTGTGTGTGTGTGTGTGTGTGTGTGTGTGTGTGTGGTGTATTCATTTTAGTCCTCAAAGCCACCAAATGAGAAAAATGAGTCTGAAAATTTGCCCAAGGTCAAGAGATAATTAGTGGTGGAGCTCAGATTCTAACTCATATAATCAAACAGGGGAGAAGAGATACATTCAGATTAATAGATCATAATAATGCAGTGCAGAATGTCATATAATGACTGCTTTGTAATCCGTATTAGAATTTGGAGAGCTTTAAGAACCACATGAACCAGTCTCATTACCTCATGCTTGTTTTATTTTTTTAAAACAAAATTGCTATAATTAACATGGTCAATCACTATTTTTCCACAATAGCAGAGAAAATAGTTAAAAATTTATCAAATAACTTTTTACAGTAGCTGGCTAGATGTGACTATAAAGAGGTGGGGTGGGCAAGAAATTTATCTTTAAATGTTTGAAGGCAGTTATGTGGAAGAAGGCAAATTTCTTCAGCATTATACGAGAAGGCAATAACAGCAAGGGTGCATTATGAAAAAAATCTAGATTAAAGTCTGTTAGAAAAACTTTCTAACTGTTAGGTCAGCCTGACCTTGTAATAGTAGGCCTTTCAGAAGGGTAGACATCCCAGACTATGGTCCCTGGTCCAGCAGCATCGGCATCATCCTCTGGGATGTCTTGTGGAAGGGTGACATCCAGTTATTATAAATGTGGGACATGCTCTGGAAATTGGTGCTGAGCTGATATATCATCACCAAGAAAACCACTCTCCTGGTTGTGTTGCCTTATGAAACAGGGAAGGTGTGTCTGCAGTGCTGCAAGACCTTCTACAGTCCACACAACGTTTTAAGGATTAAGAAACCAAGGTCTAGAGACCATGAGTTGGAATTAAAACATGGATCTCCACAGATTCAATTCAGAAGAACGTGCACTGTTGGTTGGGGAGGAATGTCCAAATAAGAGACTTCTAGATCATTTTCACATGCACTGAAGGCTGAGGTGTACAAGGTGACCATCAATTGGGAGAAGGCCATTTTCATAATTAGGAGAACTTGTCTTAGGTCCAAGCACCTTTTTTTTTTGTGTGTGTGTATGGCCACATAAGAGAATTGTCATGGTTTAGATATGAGGTATCCCACAAAAGCTCATGTGTGAAAGAATGCAAGAAGGCTTAGAGGAAAACTGATTAAATTATGAGAGGTGTAACCTAATTAGTGCATTAATCCACAAATGGATTAACTGGGTGGTGACTGTAGGCAGGTAGGTTGTAGCTGGTGGAGGGAGGTAGGTCACTGGATGGGGGCCTTTGGGGTTTATGATTGTCCCTGGTGAGCA